TGGGTCTTGGATTCTACGTGTCCTTTCACACCATTTGCTTTGGTACCTCCACTAAAGAGGACACTATTCATTCAATTTAAATTTTGGCTTGTAATTTTCAGCTGTAAGACCATAGTATCTTCCACTGACCTTGGGTGGGCCTTGGCCTCTGTTTCCATTTATAGGACCTGTGCCCAAACATGGACATCTAGGGCTTCCAACCTTACCCTTAGATCTGAACCACTGACTCTCTAGATTCTGTGTTTTCGTCTGTGCAGTGAGGCTATTGAGCTGATCAGCCTTCTTGCTCAGGATTAAGAAAGGATGTGTAGGTGGGGACTCCAGAGGGGCAATAATTCATTCTTTTATGACAACTTCAATTCTCCCCCCTCAAATACCAATCCCTGTGTACTAAAATTGCTGAAATGATTAAAATTTCATTATTGGAAAAATCATATTCAGAATGTGTTTAGATGGAGGTGGAGGGTATATAAGTGTGTTTGCAATCTGCCAGAGTGATCCAGATGTCTATTGTATTTTAAAAATTGGGAAATTTTGCCTGAAATTTGGATTAAATGAGATGTTTTGACAACTCTAGATCTGCATTTTTGCAAAGAGCAATTGGCTGGAGCTAAGTAGTAGCTACCTTTTTCAGATTGCACAAGACCTCACCAGTTCTCCACAGTTCCTAGGGGACATGTCTCACCTCACTCATTTATGTCACCTACCTGGGCTCGGTTGGTATCTCAGTATTTAACTTTGACAGAAACTTTGGGTTTTAATATTAATGTGATTTGATTTCAGTCTGGGGAACTCCAAGGGATATTGGGATTGTATAAAAGTCTTTCATAACCTTGGTATCAGAACGAAATTTTCATTCTGGAAAACTAGGACACTGAGTGAAAGGTAGCTGCATGAATTCTATGTTAAATAACCTTGCCAGTGCTTTTCCAGTTCAAATATTGAGCACTGTTAAAGTCTCTTACTTGGGAAGTTGTGTTAAGAACCATAATAATGGAAAAACCCTACAGTTATGAATCAAACAGGTTGTTCTACAGCCCTAATCTGGAGGCCTTTGGGTAATGCGGAAGCAAATCAATATGAGAAACATGAGTCTCAATCATTGTGCATTTGGAAATAGAAACATCTAAGCTAAGAAAAAATCCCCGCATATGACAGGCTGAAAAATAAAGAACTTACTTGAGGTTCTCTGAGAAATCACTAAAAAATAAGCACAAAGAAATTCATGTAATTTTTCTTAAATAGGCAAAACATGGTATTATCCAATATATATATATATTTTTTTGTGAGGAAAGATTTTGAGAGAGTATAGGAAGGAAGCATCCTAAAAAACCCTATAGATTAGTTGTAATACAAACTTAATAGGCAGTGATGATGAAGTCAAAGGCAAGGTTTCCTTAAAAGGTTTCTTCATTTATTGGACCTGAACAACTTTGGGTATTAGAAAAAAAAGTTGCCCATTGAGTTGATTCCAACTAATGATTCCAACCCCATGTTTTGCAGAGTAGAATTGTGCTTCATAGGGTTTTCGAGGCTGTGACATTTGGGAAGCAAATCACCAGGTCTTTCTTCTGGGGCTCCTGTGGGTGGGTTCAAACTGCCCCTTTCACTAGTAGTCTAGTGCTTAAGCGTTTTTGCCACCCAGGGAATCCCTGGGTACAGTCCTAGGTAAAGACCAGTGGATCTTTCTGTTTCCTTTGAATACCACTGTAATTTTTGAAGGAACACTCAAGGTCTCTATTTCATTAAATCTCCTTATATCTTTTATTTCTCTCCCCTACCCATTTAAAAAATTCTACCTACTTCTGCTATAGGGTCCCTATGAGTTGGAATCAACTCAATGACAACGGATTAGGTTTGGTTTGGTTTCGGTTATTTCATAATATTCTTCAGTTTATTGTTGATTAACAACAATGCTAGTTTAGTGTTACTTTTAATCAGTAAGGTTATCCTTTTCTTAAATTACCTATAATGTTGGGAAAGCTAGGTAATAGTGAAGTAAGAGAGAAAAGAGAAACTCAAATCTTTTTAACAGAACAAAATCTCTCAGACTTTGAACGAGATCAAAGAGAACCAAAGTGGAGAAAGAGATGTAATACTTACTTATAGGTGCCAGAGGTGAAACTAAAAAACAAATTAGATATTAGTGGATGATTTGATTGAAGGGAAAGGCACATTTGTGTTGGGGAAAAATTTGGTAGTTGTATAGCTCTGGGTTCAAATTATGGTTCTATGCTTGTGTGTTCTTGGGGAAGTATATGGCCTCAGTTTCTTATCTCTTACAAAGAGGTCAGTGGAGTTACTCTAAGGATTAAATGGGGTAATGTAACTAATGCACCTGCATAGTTCTTATCATAGGAGATGCAAAGGAAATGTAAATTTGAAATTAAATGTAAGTTTTCTTCATAGGGGGTAGCTGGATGAGTAGAAGGCAAAGGAAACTGAGAGCCATGAGTCTTGATTGCTGCACACAAAAAGTTAGAAATGAGCAGGGTAGGGAAAGGTCCCTAGGTCTTGTAGAGAAGAACAACAGCCACAATAGCGACAGAAAACAATAGAAAAACAAACTACACTTACCGGTGGGCATTGACGGTGGACCAGCTGAAAAACAAAACAGAGAAGTATCTTAGTAACCCTCTTCTCTCCTACTAATTTTTCCTTGTGTTTGGAGAGTTCCTTCTTGATAGGTCATTATAACAATAGGAACAAAATGTCCCTTTTGTCTTTGTTTATTTTTAATGTAAATCATCAGGGTTTGAACTTTCCAAAAAATCATTAATAATTTCGTGGAATTTTGATAATGGGAGAGTAAGTGGCTAAGAAAATATTTGTCCCTGGAAATACCAACATGGCCATGGAAAGTGGAGAGCCTAGTGTTGCCCAGAGGAGAAAACATGAACAGACTTACTGATGGCCCGTAGAGTTGATCCAGCTAGAAAACAAACCAGAGAAATTTATCTCCTTTTTCTTTCTTCCCCCTTCATTTTTCTTCTTTCAGTTTGTGAAGTCTCTTACAACATACCATTTCTAACTATTGGGAAACTTTCCTCTCTGCTTTAATTTTTTATGTAAATCAGTGATGTTTGATTTTTTTTTCCATAAAATTATTAAAAGCTGGGATAATTATGGGTAAATTTGAAAGCAAGAGGTCAAGGAAAAAGGAACTTCAAGCCCTTGGTATCCCAATATGTATGGCTAGGGAAATTTTCCTTGGACATCTTGGAGTTCACATGTGGAAAAACAGACTGGGCAATGCAGGAGGTCCAACTCAAATACCACTATAGAAACTTCTTATCTTCTCCATTCTTTCCCATCATTTTTTTCTTTTTCTGTAGTCTCTTGTTGATGGTTTTTATAATTATGGGAAAGCTTTTCTCTGCTCTTCATATTTATGAATATACTTATGTTCAGTAGAGTTAGAACTTTCTAATACATCATTGATAACCCAGAGAAGTTTTCACAAGGAGTAGCTAAATGCAAAGATGCACCTCAAGACTTTGCATCCCAATGTGGCCAGATATAGACTCTGAGATCCCACTAGAGATCATCGAGCTTTGTGGCAGAGAATGAGATGAACACACAGACTTACTGATTGCTTGTGGAGGTGGTCCCACTGAAAAATAAGCAGAGAGAGTTCTTATTCCCTGCTTCCTGTTCCCTCTCCCAGTCATTTTTATCTATTTGTAAAGAACCTCATGATATAATTTCTGGAAAAGTTTTTCCTATTAGATGCATTTGAACTTTCCAGAAAATTAATAATAAGCTGGTAGAATTCTAGATAATAAAAAGGCAAAAGGCTAAGAAAATAGGAATTTCGAGCTTCTATACTGTTAGCAGACTTCAGTGGACTTTGATAAATGCACAACAGAGAAATAAACAACTTACTGCTGCTTGTATAGATGACTCACTGGAAAACAAATATTATCTACATCTTTTCTCTTCCATTCATTTTTTTCCCCTTCTGTATGGAAAGGGTCTTTAGAACCATGGAGAAACTTTTTTCTCTTACTTCCTAATTTCTGTGTAAATTAGTGAAACTTCTAAACCAAAAACCAAACCCACTGCCGTCAAGTTGATTCTGACTTATAGCTACCCTATAGGACAGAGTACAACTGCCCCATAGGGTTTCCAAGGCTGTAAAATCTTTATGGAAACAGACTGCCACCTCCTCCCATGGAGCAGCTAGTGGGTTTGAACTGCTGACCTTTTGGTTAGCAGCCGAGTTTCTTCTAGAAACTTATTATTAACCTAGTGGAATTCTGAGTAATAACAAATTAAGGGTTCAAGATTATAGGAGCTTTAAGCTGTTCCAGTCTCAGCATGGATGGATAAATTTTGGTTCAAGATTTCTCAGACACTGCTGGGAACGATTGAGTTTCGTTATGAAGGAGACAGTCAAACTTACTAGAGGATCCTGAAGCTGCAAAACAAAGAGAGAAATCAGTGTGGACAGGCTTGAACCTAATTTTTCTGCTACTTTTCTAAGAGGGACTATCAGAAATAGCAGCTGAGGGAGAATCAAACTCTTGTAGGTGCTATAGTGTGCTGTGCTGGAGGATGCACACGCTTTTTGGAGCATCTGCCTGATGCTAGTCTGGGAGGCTGCAGGAAAGGAAGATGATTTATCTCTTCCCTTCATTGCAGTGACTGTAACTGATGGAAACCCTGCAGGGGATTGTTAATTGCTTTAAACTCTGCTGCCTTCACCTTCTTTCTTTCTATGTCTGCCATCCTATGCAAAATATCCTCCCTCCCTTGTTGACAGGTCACTACAAATTTAAGGCAGATTCATCTGATCTTGATATTTTAGGTTAATTAGTGAGGTTTGCATTTCCCTCTATTCATTCCCTGGGGGACAGCTAGAGAGTGGGATAAGCAAAAGAGGCTGGGGATCCTGAGTTCCTACATCTACAAGACAGAAAGAAGCAGGGAGGAAAAGGATACTAGACCTTTTAGGAGGCCAACGGCAACCACAGTATAAGAACAGGCAGGGAACTTACTGGTTGTATCTGAAGTGTCAGCTAGTAGAAAAAAAGAAGAAAAAAAAAAAAGATAAGTCAGCACATGTAGTACAAAGAGAACCCAGCTGCCCCATGATGGGCTTAAAAAGGGTAACCAGAGAGGACGCAGGGAGCTCTAAAACCTGCATGTTAGCTCAGTGCAGCATCTGGCTTAAGCACCTGATCTTGTGCACTGCAGCCTCAGGTCTGCTTGCACCTGTCCAGAACAAAAGAACGGCCATCCTTCCCATTCCCTTCAAGGACGGCAAATGCTTGAGACACTTCAAGGTTCATAATGTCTTAAATTCATGATGTCTTAAACTTGTGCTTCTATGTACTTTTGTCATTCTCATTTTCTGTGATCTATCTTTCCTACCTAACCCTTTAATTGATTTGAAAAATTTTCTTCCTACTGCTTCTCTTCACTAGGCCTGCTTGGAGCCACTAAAGTTAAATTTTTTAAAAAATTTTAATCAGTATATTTTTCACTTTCTCCAAATCATTTGTAATTTAGGGAAAGCTAGGAAGGAATAAGAATAGCAATATAATTTTCATTTATACATTACTATATTTTTAAAGTGTTCAATCGTAGGGGAGTGGGAGTTAAGTAGGGGGTGGGGGGAGGAGAAAGGGGACTCCATATACCTGTATAGGTTCTCTGGCACATGGTAGCCATTAGGAGACTGGTCAGAATGAGACCCTTCCGTTAGCCACAGTGTGAGCCTCTGAAGTTGGCTGACTTGTGCTTTTTCCCCTATAAAAATTATGAGAACTTCCAAGGATGTAGATCTTGGCGATAAGAGTACTGAGAGAGGAAGCCTTGATTTAGGAAAAGAGTCACTAAATGCTGGCTCTTACTCATTCATAAGAAGAGTATTTAAAATCAGCATTTAGGGCAGCCAGCATTCAGGTTTAGTGGCCATAGTGTGATTGTGTGGGAGGCTGCCTGCCCGCTCCACATTATGAGATCCTTTTTCCAGGATATCTCGTAGGACTGCAAACTCCACCACACCAGAGATCACATCTCCCTCTCCTATTCATAACTTCATCCCCAGTGCTCAGCTCAATACCTGGTACAAGTTAGGAGCTCAGATAATTGAAAGAATGTTTATTTGAATTCTTTTGACTTGCTTTCTGGTAATTTCTCCTCCTTGGCTTAAACTTCAGAATACTGTCACTTCTTAATATCCAGACTCAGAGTTTCCCATGACCTATGCTTGGTTTTGACACCGGCATTGCCCTAGCTAGCCACAATATGAACTTTCTCCTCACTCTCTTCCCCTTGTGGTTTGTAGTTGCCTGATGGCTCTGCCAATTGCTGTAATTGCATCCAACTGTCATTTCCTGTTCTTGAAGCGCTGTGTGTATGTGTTTAGGGTGTTTGGGGAGATGGGGCAAGACAGGAGATGAGAGGAAAGATAGAGACATTGGGGGAAGGGCTGGGAACTCAAGGTAGACTAGAACCTGAGCAGTATTCCTTGATAGAATTTCTCCAGGAAACTGTTAAGATCTCATTCTAGTTACATTTAATTGTTTTTTTTTTTTACCCTTTTGCCTTTATTTTTAAAATTTACCTTTCTCATTTTTTCTACATTGTCTCCATTACCTTGGAGTAAGCCCTTTATAAACTACAAAGCACTTCAAAACTAGAAAGCTACCCTTATTATTCCTTCTCTATTCTTTTAAAGAGCCTTGGTGGTGCAGTGGTTAAGAGCTCTGCTCTGCTATTAACTGAAAGGTCAGTGGTTTGAACCCACCAGCTGCTCTGTGTGAGAAAGATGTGGCAGTTTGCTTCTGTAAAGATTACAGCCTTGGAAACCCTATGGGGCACTTCTACACTGTTTACAGGGTCACTATGAGTTGGAATTGACTCAGCAGCAATGAGGTTGGTTTTTGGTTTGGTTCCTTTAAAAAGTTCTTCTTACTTTTTCTTTGAAAACAAGCAAGCAAGCAAACAAACAAACAACAAATCCTGGAGAATTCTAGGCAGTAGAAAACAAGGAAGCATGAAAACATGTTTAAATTTCTATTCTTATGGCAATAGACACACTTAGGACAGGGAACAGGTCCCCTAGACACTGTAGAAGATCAAAGAACAACAGAGAAAAAATAAACAAGGGACTTACCACTGGGTCCAGTATATTGTACTAAAAATAGAAATTAACACAAAAATTATTATGGTTGTTGAACATAAAAAACACACTTATCTGTCATGCTTTTCAAAGGAGAGCAGTAAGAATGGTTTTCGAAGAATTTACTAAATCTGAATCTTCAACTACTGGGATTAATTTTTTTGGATTGCAGCTGTGCTATAGCTTCTCAGTAAGAATCAGATTTTTCTCTAGGAGACTTGTAGCCCTTTTTTAGTGAGAAGGATACCACTTCATTCTTGCTTTTCATTATAATTTTTTGACTTGAAATTCTTAATTGTATTCCTTTCCCTGCATCTTTCCCCATCCTTTCCCCCCTCATATTACTCTTGTTTTATTCTCTCAGCCATCTTTCGTCTGCTTGCTTATTTCTTATACCCTCCCCCCAACCAAAACACCAAACTCATTGTCATCTAGAAGATTTCCACTCATCTTCCCCCAGCTTCTCTTTATTGAATCTTTGCTTTGGAAAGCTCTTCTATTGATTGATAAACCATTACAATCACTGTTAGAAAAATGTTATGCTGCTTATTATGAATAATAAGGCAGTGGGATTTCCATTTTATAAAATATGATTAGTTGCTCAGAGAGATTGTTAGGATATGGGGAAATGAGAATTTGAGAAACATGATTCTCAGCTTCAACCCAGAAATATAAACACTTGGAGCCAATACAAGTCCTTCAGCCATATCAGGGAACAAATTGAGATGTGTTGATGCAACTTACCAATAGGTCCTGGAGTTTGCACTAAAAAGAAAGCCAAGTTGGCATATTAGTATGGTTGTTTGGCTGAAGAATACAGTTTTCATTAATTTTCTAGGGTTGGGGTATTAGGGGGTAGAGTAGGGGAGAAGAAGGAATATTAATAATCAGTATTGGGGGAACTCATCCAGTTAACTGTAGAGCAAAAGAGATATTTAGTATTTAGGGCAAAGTTTCAGAGCCTGAGGTGAGAATTTCTCTAGGATCCTTGTCAACCTAATAGACATTAGGGAAAGGAATAACTTTATACTTTCCTTTCCAGTCAGTAACAATATAAGAGACACTGCTTTCTCAGGGGACTGCCCTTGTACTAAAATCTTCATTTCTCACTTAATAATATGCTCCAGGGTAGACATTAGGGTAGGAACTATGGCTCCAGTTCCCACTTCTCACAGCTTCCAGCTTATTGGGGACTACCAGAGTGACTACTGCTGCTTTGACATTGGCTTTACTGTCTGTGGGAAAAGGGTCAACAAAACATTTAGTTTTTAATGAGAATTCAACCTTCAGTTGATTTTCTGGCTTTGATCCCCTGGTGACCTGCCAAAGATAGTAGGCCACCTACTTGGTAATGTTATTTGGTAATATTGCTTATAAGAGATTGATCCTTGATTGGTAAACTTCTTCTGACCTGAGGGAACTGTAAGTAACTGTTAGAAGCCATAGCCTTGGGCTTCTCTGAGTGCAGTCACCCATGTGTTTGGGAATGTTCCTTATGGGATCCTTGTAGGCTGTGGGTATGGAGTTATTACAAGAGATTATGGTTCCTGTGGGACATGTGGGATTCTAAGCCAGAGTATCTCATCTCTCACACTCTGCCAAAGAGAATAGTTCCTGACTGGCTGTGTGGATATCTGCATAGACCTATGCAAGGAGGACTACTACCATAGAAGAGGGACACCTGATGCTGCCCCGATGGCAAGCTGTGCTTCCTGCCCTGGGTCCTTCTGAGTAGACTGGTGCCAGGTGAGGCCTACGATAATCTTGTGAGTCTTCATGGTTAGTTCAACCAAAAAAGAGCTCCCTCAACCAACCCCTCCCCCCAACTTCCCACGAGCATTGCAGTGTCTTTCTTTTCCACAGCTCCTCACTTCATGGTACTCATGAAAGGAAATATCTCAGCTCTGACCCATAAACCCCAAACCTTTAACTGTGAATTTATTTCTGTGTAAAAAACCTAGGAGGTGGCTTGCCAGATCTGGATAGCCTAGGCTATGAGCTGTAGACAAGCTAGGAATTTAGATATTTTGCAAAGTAATTTAATATTTGCTTTGATGGTATCTACAAAAAAGTGTACTTGATCCTGAAGTAGAACTTCCTAGGACATCTGTCCTCTTGGTACAGGCCACCAAATACCTGGATGGATGATTATTTCAAATTTTACTTCATTTTTTTCAGTTTTTCTATTATTTTCTCCCCCTTTCCCCCACTGCTGTTAGTTTACAACTCATTGCACCCTTCTTTTTTTTCCCATTTTTTGGCTTAATTTATATTCATTTACTCTTCTTTCTTTTCCTATCTGCCAATTCACTTAATCTTTCTCCTTCCAATTTTCTTCCTATTTATGTTCTTTTTTTTATTCCCTTCTATTTTTCTTCCTTTAACCTGCATCCTCATTGCTGCTTTTTTCCTACTCTCTTTTTCCTCTGAATTCCAACTTTAGAAGTTCATTGTCTTCATTGCCAATAACCCATTATAACACCCAAAAATGGTAGTAGAAAGAACTCAACTAAGAGTCAACAAAACAACAGTCCTAACTTCATTATTCACTGCCCCATTCTTTATTTTATTTTTGAGAAATGAATCCTGAGCCTTAGTTTTCTCCTCTCTAAAGATGAGTACGATACCTGCCTTACCCACATCTGCTGGAATGTTGTGTAGATCCAACAAAATAATGCAAATGAGTGTTAGAAAAACTGTAAAGCATTATAGGACACAGAGAGTGTGGCTACATACTAATATAGGACTCATATTCCTTGTGTCAGATAAATATAGGGAAATTTCAAATCATATATTAGTTTTATAATTTAAAAACATTCTTATTTTCTGTTACAATGCTATAATCTAGTGTGTGAAGCTGTAACTCTTTGTATATATACAGCTCTTAGTTTATAAACATTTAATTAGGAACTACTGTGTATTAGTCATAATCATTGTTTATAATGTTACTATAGGAAAATACAGCAGGGAAAATTACTAAAATTAGTGAAAATAGAACTTGTTTTGGAAAACTTTTCAGAGCAATAAAAAACTAAAAAAGACTTAAAATTTGCATTATTTTACAAAGTGAAGATAATCTAAAAAGGAAAATATTATTTGCAAGGAAAGCAAGAAATTTAGATACCGTGTTCCAAATCTTTATTATATCTTGGCTTTAAAGAGCTAGATTATATACTTAAAAGAGGAACAACTTAGAAAAGACCATCCCTAGAGGAGTATTCTTTCACTTTGCATTTCAGCTTCATAGTTAATATCTTTTTATTGCAGAACCTGGACGAATCGAACCTAGAGGTACTCTGGGTGGGATAAAGAGGCAGCGGAAGCACTTGATCCTTGAGTCTGTGTGCACAATCATTGAAATAAAAATAAATTGATGTTCTAAGCATTGCAAAGAACTGCAGACAGTATAATTGAGACTTAGGTGACTTACCAATGGTTTTTTGAGAGAGCTCTAAGAAAGAAAAAGAAAAAAAAAGAATTAAAAGAAATTAATGGATGCTTTCAGGCTCTGGAAACCATAGTTCCTATTTATATGCTTTCTCAAATTAGAATCTGCACCATAAACTCAGGATCAGCTGTGGTTGAGTAGTGGGAATGTTGATTTTCTTGCTGGAATGCTTTGGCAAGCTAATACATGCAAAAGCCTCTCCAGCCAATGGATCCACTGACAGGGTAGGTACAAAAAGGTCACACATTTGGTCCATTTCAGTCTCCGCAGTGGATTAGAAAATGCTCTCTCCATTTGAACTTTCCTTTCTTCCTTTCTTTTATTATTTCACTTCTCTCCATCTCACTCTAAATTGAAAAGTATTTTGTGTGACATTGTTAGGTCATTAGAAACCCGAAGAGTTTGTCCTGCACTTTATAGTTTGTGTTTATCAGTGGAATGTATATTTTCCACATGATTATTAATGATCTACTGACATGCTAGATAGAAGACAACCAAGAGGAAGAAAATATGGAAGTCAAACTTCTGAAATCCCAACACAGAAGCCAGGGAAAGATCCCTAAGATACTGAAGAAAATTAAAATGGAGAATCGACAGCAAACTTACTGATAGGTCCTGTAGCTCCAGCTGAAAAAGAGAGATATTGAGATTGATCAGTGTACTTCACCACTGTGATGGGAATGCTGTTCCTCAGCACTCATTCTTCAGGTAGTATCATAAATTGAAACTCTGGGAGCATCAAGGGTTGTTTTTTGTACAGCAAACCTTGGGAAGGCTCCCTATTGCATAGTCTAGGGGGCTTGCAGGAAAGGAGGCCTCCTTTGTCTTCAGAGAATTGGAAAAGACTCATTCTGTGTTAATTTGTAATGCCTCCATTTTTTGTCCTTGCTGTTTTCTTCTTTCCTTAAAAAATTTTGGTTTATTTGAAAATTTTTCCCTCCCTTTCTGAAAGGTCATTTTGATGGTTACTGAGAGCCCTTTTCTACTTTCCATTTTCTTATGTTAACCACGGGCTTTGCAGTTTCTCTATTTCATGCATAGCCTCTTTGGAAACTGGGGGAGTGGAGAAACATGGTATCAAGAAATGAAAGAAAGCAGGTCAGCTATGGAAGGAACTGGAGTGAAGAAACACTCTTGATACTTACGAATAGGTGCTGTGAATTGCACTGAAATAAAAAAGGAGGCAAATCAGTGTGGTTTGACATTAATAGAATTCTCATGACATTGATATCGTTTCTAAAAGAAACCATGAAACAACTCAACCAGGGAGAGAACAATTTCTGCAGGTCTGCAGATATTTTTAGCATAGAAGCCTCATAACTCAGATCAAGTCATTCAATGTTCATCTTAAATGAGAAGTCTACAGCAGAGGAGAACTTATAGAACCCAGGCTGAAGGCTATCCTCTCCTCTCTCCTCTTTTTCTTCCTCTTCCCTGTCTACTCTCAGTTGTCACAAAGGATTGAGTAGGTAGGATAGAAGTTCATTTATTTATTTTACTACATCTTCTTCTTTGCCTTATGATGCTTATTCTTTTGCCTTGTTCTAGAACTACCTGTTATTCTCATAGCACTTTCCTCAGTTTAGGAAATGCCCACAAATAGCTGTTTCAGTTATTTTGATCATCACTCAAGACCTTTTTTTCTTACCAGTCATCATTTTAAATATAAATTATTTGACTTTCTCTTGTCTTAAACACAATGACAATTAAGGGCATTTTATCTGATGGCTTGGGCAAAAAGAGGTTTCAGGAGATTGAAATGCTATTAAGAGCGGGAAAGCCTGCAGGTGTAGGAACGGAAACAGCCAGTATGAGGAGAGGGCCCCAGATTCCTCAGAGAAATAAAGAATGTCGAAGTTAAGAAACAGAAAAGGAACTCACTTATGGGTCCGATAGCTCCAGCTAAAACATGAGAAAAACAAAATAGAACAAATTAGAACAGTTCTTGGCATAGAAAATAAAGTTTGCATTAATTTTTTTCTAGGGAAACATCAGAAATGTATATACCAGGAACAAAACTGTCACTTCATTGGAGGAGGAAATAAGGTTTATGTTTCAGCACCCACCGTGGGGGATCCCAGCTATTGCTGGGATATGACCACTGGAGTGGCAGGGATGCAGTGGTCAGAGTTCCTTCCTCAATGGATATCCTGTCTGTATTTTAGTAGATTACACAGGCCATAGCTTTTTTTTCCCAACTGTGTTAACTTGAGCTTGTTTAGCTAGCATCTACAGCATCTTCTGAAGGAAGCAGTGGAAATTTCTGTCTGCTGTGGGAGACCTTGATTCCTTTATTCAACAGAGTAACTTGACCTGCAATATCTTCATATAAAAGGGAATAGAAACTACTAGGTAGACTCAAGACATTCATAGGTACAGTTAGAGTTAGTGGGTAAAGAGATTGAGTCACTAGACCCGCATGCATGGCAATAACAGCCTTTTCCTTCTTTAGAAACACTCACGTACACACACACACACACACACACACACACGCACACACACACACCCATACACACAGAGGCACCCTCTTAGGCTACATGTGCTTTTATGACACCCAGTGTTTGCACTTGAAGTTTGACTTTGAGTATTTTAATCTGGTTTTGTGTGTATAAGTGCACCAGGATGAGTAGACACAAGGTGTGATTTGCCATGAGCCCTAATCCTCAGATCATTCTTCTCCCTCTTTCCTTCAGGGTTGGCCCTGCCCCAGGAGCTCAAGCTCTGAGTATTCTCAGCAGTGATGGATGAGACTATGTTAAGAGATGAATTAATAAACCCCAGTGAGTTTCATCTTCCTCGCCATTGGCTTTAAGGCTACTCTTGGTGTCGGAGAATCTGCAGGGTTGGAGGAGCTGGTTATACTTAGATCAAGTACATACTATCTTTTTATTTCCTTCTAAATGCGGAAGATTGAAATGCTACAGAACAATGGTTCTCAAAATTTAGTGTGCACAAAAATCACCTGGGATCTTGTTAAAATGCAAATCATGTTTTAGTAGATCTGGGAGTTGACATTAGGCTGAGATATGTGTCTCAAACAAATTCCAAGGTGATGCTGATGCAGGTCTTGAGTAAGATGGCCACGACCAAGCCCTCTTCCTATGAGTGTTACTGGGATTTCTAGCAGAGGAACCTACCAACCTTTCCCTCTAACACTTTAATTTTTTAAACAATTTTCTCCTGCTGCTGAATCTCAAGATTTTGGGAAAATTAAAAGTGATGGTACTTCCTCACTGAGGTTCCACAGCTTTTTAAGATACAGAATACCATGGATTCTGTATATATGGAGTAAATAAGGGGAAAAGAATTAACAAGTAATATAGAAGAAAATAAAAACATCCAGGAATAGGAGTGTCTTACATATTATAACATTATAGTAAAACAAATCCCATGAGAAATAAAGCGCAGAAAAAAGAACTTACTGTCTATAGATACAATGCAATCCTGATCCAAATTCCAATGGCATTTTTTAACGAGATGGAGAAACAAATCACCAACTTTATATGGAAAGGGAAAAGGCCCTGGATAAGTGAAGGATTATTGAAAAAGAAGAAGAACAAAGTGGGAGGGCTCACACTACCTGAATTTAGAACCTATTATACCACCACAGTAGTCAAAACGGCCAGGTACTTGTACAACAAAAGACACATAGACCAATGGAACAGAACTGAGAATCTACCTATGAGCAACTGATATTTGACAAAGACCCAAAGTCCTTTAAATGGCAAAAAGACAGTCTCTTTAACAAATGGTGCCGGCATAACTGGATATCCATCTGTAATAAAATGAAATAGGACCCATACCTCACACCCTACACAAAAACTAACTCAAAATGTATCAAAGACCTAAATATAAAATCTAGAACAATGAAGATCATGGAAGAAAAAATAGGGACAACTCTAGGGGCCCTAATACATGGCATAAATAGTGTACAAACCATAACTAACAATGCACAAACACCAGAAAAGAAACTAGAGAAATGGGAGCTCCTAAAAATCAAACACTTATGCTCATCAAAAAACTTCACCAAAAGAGTAAAAAGAGTACCTACAGACTGGGAAAAAATTTTGGCTGAACATATCTGACAAAGCTCTAATCTCTAAAATCTACAAGATACTGCAACATCTCAATGACAAAAAGACAAATCCAATTAAAAAATGGGCAAAGGATATGAACAGACACTTCATCAAACAAGACATTCAGGTGGCTAACAGACATATGAGGAAATGCTCACAATCATTAGCCATTACAGAAATGCAAATCAAAACTGAAATGAGATTCCATCATCTCACCCCAACAAGGCTGGCACTAATCCAAAAAACACAAAATAACAAATGTTGGAGAGGTTGTGGGGAGACTGGAACTCTTATGCACTGCTGGTCGGAATGTAAAATGTTACAACCACTTTGGAAAATGATATGAGGCTTCCTTAAAAGCTATAAACAGAAATACCATATGATCCAGCAATCCCATTCCTAGGAATATACCTGAGAAAAATAAGAGCTGTTGCACGAATAGACGTATGCACACTCATGTTCATTTCAGCATTGTCCACAATAGCAAAAAGATGGAAACACCTAAATGCCCATCAACAGATGAATGGATAAAAAAACTATGGTACGTACACACAATGGAATACTATGGAACGATAAAGAACAATAATGAATCTGCGAAACATCTCACAACATGGATGAATCTGGAGGGCATTATGCTGAGCGAAATAAGTCAGCCACAAAAGGACAAATATTGTAAGAGACCACTATTATAAGAATTCAGGAAAAGGTTTAAACACAGAAAAAAGCATTTTTTGATGGTTACGAGGGTGGGAAGGGAGGGGAAATCACTAACTAGATAGTAGACAAGGGTTAACTTTGGTGAAGGGAAGGACAACACACAATACAAGGGAAGTTAGCATAACTGGACCAAAGCAAAAGCAAAGAAGTTTCCTAGATACATCCAAACACTTCGAAGGACAGAGTAGCTGGGAGTGGGGCCTGGAGACCATAGTTTCTGGGGATATCTAGGTCAATTGGCATTGCATAGTTTATAAAGAAAATGTTCTACATTCTACTTTGGTGAGTAGCATCTTGGGTCTTAAAAGCTTGCTAGCAGCCATCTATGATACATTTATTGATCCCATCCCACCTGGAGCAAAGGGGAATGGAGAAAACCAAAGACACAAGGAAAATAATAGCCCAAAGGACTAAAGGACCAAATGAACCAGAGCGTCCACCAGCCTGAGACCAGAAGAACTAGATGGTGCCTGGGTACCATCAATGACCTCCCTGACAGGGAACACAACAGACAGTCCTGGACACAGGAGGAGAAAAATGTAGAACAGAATTCAAATTCACGTAAATAGACAAGACTTAATGGTCTGACAGAGACTGGAGGAACCCCTGAAACTATGGACCCCAAACGCTCTGTTAACCCAGAACTGAAATCATGCCTGAAGCCCATTCTTCAGACAAAGATTAGACAGGAGTACAAAACAAAAAAATAATACACTCAAGGAACATGCTCCTTAGTTCATTCAGATATACGAGACCAAATGGGCAGCTCCTGTCCTAAAGCCAGATAAGAAGGCAGGAAGGGACAGGAACTGGTTGAATGGACACAGGTTACCCAGGGTGGAAAGGAGGTATGTCCTTTCACATTGTGGGGATTGCAACCAATGTCGCAAAACAATATATGTGTAAATTTTTGAATGAGAAATTAACTTGAGCTGTAAAGTTTCACCTAAAGCACAGTTAAAAAAAAAAAAAAGAACTTACTGATGGGTCCTGCAGCACCGGCTAAAATACAAACACAAAACAAACAAGTAAGTTTGGAGAGAGTATGACTCAAGATGTTCGTTTAAGAGCAATCTATATATTAGATTGACAGTTACTATATATTAGATTGACATGGAAGGTGGCAGGAAGGTAATTCTGTATGTTCCTTTTTTTCTTTAAGGAGACTTATAAAATCACACTCCCTGCAATTATTTTTCTTGTTCTCGATTTTTATTATCTTTCAGCTCTCAAATCCTTCTAAAAATTTCTGTTTTGATAAACAACTCCATCCAACCCCAGGATTTTTCTTTCACCTTATTTATTTATTTTATTAGCAGAGTTTCCACTTTGCTAAATAATAATAATAAATCAGTTACTTAGGGGGATCCTGAAATTAGCTGCAAGTTCCCCACACTGGTAAAGGAAAAGAGGAACAGTAAAACAGCAAGTTGTTCTCTCCTCCGTCTTTATCTGCCTTCTTCCCCCTCTCTCTTCCTCAACCCGCTCCACCCCCATAGCAGGTACCTTTTAGAAGATCAAGAAGAACTAAGTTGAGAAATATTCAGGGGAAACTTACAAAAAGGTTCTCGAGTTGCTTTTAAACATTTTGAATCACCTGTAAGAAAAGTGACAAATATAATCACACTTAAATTTAGAATTTCAGAGGGCATGGAGTGTAGACGATCGCATTTCCTCTTTATGAGGTACCGGTAGCTTGAGGTTAGAGACCTGAGTCCCAGCTTTGCTACCGTTAGCACTATGACTTTGAGCAGTCACCAAACATTTAAAAAAAAAAAAAATTGTATTTTTGGTCAAAGTATATACGGCAAAACAAGTTCCCATTCAACAGTTTCTACATATACTGCTCAGTGATGTTGGTTACATTCTTCACATTGTGTCAGCATTCTTATTACCACCATTCTAGCAGTTGCGTTCACATCAACTTAGTCTTGCCCCCCACAACCCCCCAACCATCTCATTCATGCTTTAGAGTAACTGTTGACCGTTTGGTTTCATAGGGATAATTTTTCAAAAGAGTGCAGTATTCAAGGGTGACATTCTTTACTTTTTGAGCTAAACTTCTGCTGAGTGAAAAGGTGACTTCAGGGGATACTTTTGGTTTGAGATTTAACGAGTATCTCAGGGCAATAGTCTCGGGGGTTCCTCCAGTCTCAATGGGTTCTGTAAGTCTGAATTTTTTGGGAATTTAAAATTCTGTTCCATATCTTTAAAAACTTTTGAGCATTAATTTTCTTATGTTTTAAAATGGAAGCCGTATCTCCTGTCTTACTAATCCCACAGCAGTGAAAATCAGGAGTAATAATAAATTAGAAAGCTGAAAAGTTCTATTAGAAATGTTATGGAGAGAAATGGGCAATGACCTCAAAACTCTTCTGCAAAGTAGCAAGTCTTCACTCCATTTGACGTACTGCTTTATTTTACTTTTCTTCTACCTTCTCTAATTTTTCCTCTTATTCCTTATTGTCATTTGGAAAGTTCTGAATGCTGGTGACGTAGCATTGTAATGAGCATTTAATTGTTTTATGTTTTATTCATCTGTGTAATTTTTACTTTTTTTTTTAAAAAAGCTGTCATTTTCTGTATACCTACACCTGGTTGCCCAATGATTAAGCCATCAGCTGCTAACCAAAGGTCGGTGGTTTGAAGCCGTTCTGCAGGAGAAAGATATGGCATCCTGCTTCCATAAAGATTACAGCCTTGGAAACACTATGGGGCAGTTCTACTCTATCCTAAAGGGTTCCTATGAGTTGGAATTGACTCGATGGCAATGACTTATTCCTTAGTTATGTCTTTGTGTGGCACAAACGTTTTGCACTCAACTACAAACCTAAAGATTGACAGTTTGAATCCACCCAGCAGCTCTGTGGAACAAAGGCCTGGTGATCACCTTTCATAAAGATTACAATTCTACTCTGTAACATGTAGGGTTGCCATGAGCTGGAATATACTGGTCGTTCCCTCTCATTACCTGAGCTCTTAGATCACCGTCCTTCCTTTCACCACATCTGTCACTATTGTTAGTGGCTTCTTATCCATTAACATGATTCATCTAATATCTTGGGTTTTCCATGTTTTGACCCCCTCAGCTTCAGCAAACTTTTCTCCTGATCCAAGTCTTTCATTCACGCCTATGGATATTCCTGGGATCTTGTCATTTCTAATAACTGCACCACTTCACATTTAAGAATCCCACTCTCTGATCTACCATTCTAGTTTTCCAGCTCATTTCCTTTAGAAACTTTCCCCACCCTACCCACCTGCAAACTCTCTATCAACATCATGGGAATGTCTGATCCATTATCCATACTCTAAATATTTTTAATCACCCCCTTTTCCTCTCTTCCTTCCTTATCTGGTTTAGATTCCATGGCTCACATCATAACTACTTCCTTGCTAATGCCTTTGTCACCTTTGCCTCTCTTTTCCTGACAAAGCTACAAATCTCCTTTGTACCTCTCCCTTGGCAAAACTCAAACCCTGGTTAAACTTAACTATCTGTTTACTCCATGCCTTTCTCAAGCAAAGCTGTTGGAGAAAAATCCAATGGGAACCCATCACTGCCAGAAAATCCTCCATACTCTTACAGTGAATTAACATTTTTTTATACCCTCTCAGATGACTTTCCTACCTTTTCTCTCTTAAAATTTTCAACAACCCATCCCCTTCCCACTTTCTGCTGATGCCCTTGACTCATACTCATTGAGAAAGTAGGTGCAATAAGATGGGAACCACCTCATCCTTACCACACTAAGTATATCAAATTATTCCTTTCTTCTTATTTCATTAAGAGAAGTGTCCCTGCTTTCATCTAAGACTACTTGTTCTATGGGTTGTTCTCTACTAGTTATAGAGATTTCCTGGATTATAACCATTGGCACAAACATCCGTTAATAACATCTACTTAAAAAATCCTTTCTTGATCTTATATACCTCTCTGGCTACTGCCCAGTTTCCCTACTCTCACTGTGGCAAACCTGAAAAGAAGTGTCTATGTTCTCTTTCTTCACTCTTTCCCTTCTCTTCTAACCCACTGCATTCAGGCATGTGTCCGAACCACTCTACAAAGATGGCTGGTTAAGATCACCAGTGCCTTCATCACCAATTCCAGTACTTTGTTCTTTTTTACTCCTTTTCTCAATAGCATTCGACACAGACAACCACTGCTTCCTTCTTGGAAAACCGGGCTACTTATTTTTCTTATCTTTCACTGGCCACTTTTCAGTTTTCTTTGGGACACTTTTTTATCCACCCATCTGTCCCTAACTGATGAATGCCCCAGGGTCTATTCCTCAGTCCTCTTCTTCATCTACAGTCTTTCCTAAGTGAAATCCATCAGTCCTTAGCTTTTACATGTCTTCTGTATGCTAATAACAACCAAATGTTTACCTTCAATCCTGATCTTTCATATAATCAACTGCTTTGCATTGTCTGTTTGGACTTGGAATAGGAATTTGAAAGTTTACATATCCCAAACAGAACCTTGGTGTCCCTCACAACTCACACCTACTTTGCATCTGTTTTTATCAACTCAGCAAATGATACTACCATTTACCTAAGAGTTTTCTCACACTCAACATCTAATGCATTAGCTAATTCTGTCAGCCCTGTCTCCAGATTATATAGCCAGATGCTCACTAGTGCAGTGAAAGTGGAATAGCATGTGATGAGTGTGGGCTCTGCCTGACAGAGATTTGGAACTTAATAAATATTTCTTGAATGACTGAATCTCCATTCATATTGCCTGGTTTACTGCATCAGTCTCCTAACTGGGCTTGCAGTCTTCACTCTTGCTTCCCTCTACAATCCATTCTCTACCCAAACTCATGGTTACCTTTGTAAAAGTATGAATGTGACCGTATTCCTTCCCTGCTTAAAACATTCCAATGGGCTTATTGTGGCTGTTAGAACCACACTCCATATCTTAGTGTAAAAAGCCTTTCATGATTTGGCTCCTCCCAACCTCTTGATCCTGCCTACCATCATTCACTACTGGCTGCTTTGCAATCTGTTATACAAGCTACTCTCCCTGTGTTAGGAATTTCATGTTTCTTTTGCCTGGAATATTCTTTCCTAAGATCTTCATGTGGCTGCTACCTTTTCATCATTCAAGTCTCAGTTCAGATATCTCCCCAGAGAAGTTTCTTCTAACCTCCTAGCTAAAGATCTGTACTTCCAGGTCATGTTTTATCAAATCATCCTAATTTATTTTCTCCATAGAATTTTCTGTGATATGAAATTATTTTATTTGTTCATTTATGTGTTTATTTTCTATGTTACTCTAGAAAAATCTATGTTCTCTGAATAGAGACCATGTCTGTCTTGTTTGCACAGCACCTAGTGCCTGGCATACAGTAGGTCTTAATGCATGTTTATTGGATAAATAACTGAATTTTCTGGTATATACACTATCTTGCTTCCATTTTCTTACTTTCTCCCAACTTTTTATTTTCTCTTCTCTTTTGCTACCAGCTTGGAAAGTTCATCTCTCTCTCCCTGTCTTTTTTTTTTTTTGGTAAACAAAAACATGACAATTTTTATAGCTAGAACTAGAGAATATAAGAGTTATAAGGGATTTTAGAGACAACCTAGTCTAATTTTTTAATTTTACAGTTGAGAAAACTAGGAAATATGTCTTATCTGATATTCTAAATGAGTTGGAGGCAGTCATGACACTAGCACTTGACTCCTGACTCCCAGCCCAGTTTGCTGCTTCTTTGCCACAAAAACCTTCCCTGTGCTTATTTTTAGTTTTGAAAATCTCTCAAGCTTTTGGTTTATCAAATTGGTGAATTCCCTCAGTATAAATGGAGGATTATTTTGGTTTTCAGATGAATGAAATTATATTGTCTTAGTCACAGCAGGGGCAACCCGTTGTACTCTTTCTTCTTTGGAGGGTTTTTATGGCAATCTTATCCAGCATAAACCAAACCAAACCTGTTGCCGTTGAGTTGATTCTGACTCACAGCGATCCTACAGGGCACAGTAGAATTGCCCCATAGGATTTCCAAGGCCGTAAATCTTTATGAAACCTACTGCCACATCTTTCTCCAGCGGAGTGGCTGGTGGGTTCAAACCACCAACCTTTTGGTTAGCAACAGAGTGCTTAACCACTGTGCCACCAGGGCTCCTTCTCCAACATAGGTCACCTAGAAATTTTGCAGGACAGTACAAAGATCTGAGTTTATTATTTAGCATGAAATAACATGAAGATAATTTATTTTGTTCCCATAGTCAATTATACTTTCCAGGACTTAATTAGATGAAAACAAAGCAAAACTAAATAAAATCTGTTTTGATTGGAAAAAGTAATATAGATTGAGCTTAATAGTTTTCAAAGGGCACGCTTTAAGAGTCATGTATGTGTGTATATATATACTTATACACACACATACAACATATATATATATATATATATATATATATATATATATAAACAGCTTTATTCATGGTAAGGAGTTATATATAGCACAGTAATGGACTAGCAGATAATTTTGAGATTTAGATGAATTAATTCACATTTTAAGATTTTCAGAGTAAATTTTTAAAATTAAAGTAATTTTTTTATACATGCACAATCTCCTCAATTTCTTGAAA